ACGTCGGCGCCGGGCGAGTCGTGCCGCTCCAAGATGCTCGTGGTGGAGCACCGCACGACGCTGCTCAACCGGCTCGACCGGCCGGTTGGCTACGTGCACCACGGCAAGGGCGGCCACACTGCGGCGCTGCTGCGGCCGGGCGAGCGGGCACCCTTCCACTGGCAGGACGAGGAGCCTTCTAGGAACCTTCTAGGAACCTTCTAGGCGAGCGGGCACCCTTCCACTGGCAGGACGAGGAGCCCTAGGAACCTTCTAGGAACCTTCTAGGCGAGCGGGCACCCTTCCACTGGCAGGACGAGGAGCCTTCTAGGAACCTTCTAGGAACCTTCTAGGCGAGCGGGCACCCTTCCACTGGCAGGACGAGGAACCTTCTAGGAACCTTCTAGGAACCTTCTAGGCGAGCGGGCACCCTTCCACTGGCAGGACGAGCCCGGCCTCGCGCGCCTCCTCTCCGTCTGCCTCCTCGACGCCGGCGCCGACGCCGCCTTTGCTGGCCCCCTACTGAGTACTGAGTCAATCCGCAGTCCACCGTTGAGGCTTGTTGACCAGGCGCCGACGCCGCCTCGCTTGCCGAGTGCGACTGGTCCAACGCGCTGCCGATCGACTCCGTCGGCGAGCCCGTTCCTGGCAGTCTCGTCCTCCCGAGACGGAGGGAGGTCTGAGGAGGAGACGTGGCTGCTGCTAGGCGAGCTCAACCTCGTCTGCCGCCTCTCCAACCGGCGGACGGTCCTCTTCCTCTCGGTCGACGTGCAGCTTCTCTCCGGCGCGAGCATGCTCGTCGTCTTTTCGGAGCGGACGGCCGAGCTCGCGCCGTACCGCGTCGACAACCTGTCCGCGCTCCCGCTGCTCATCTCGCAGAGCCCGTGCGCCGCGCTGCAGCAGCCGCGCGTCGTGCAGGAGGTGCTGCCCGCGTCGCGCGCGCCCTTTGCGTGGGAGCAGGCGGTCGCCGTCTCTCTGCGTGTCTCGGCGTGTCTCGGCGTGGCTCTCGGGCTCATCTCGGCGAATCTCGGATGAGCAGGTGGTCGCCGCGCCGACCCTCGACTTGCACGTCGGCCGCTCCGTGCGCAAGGTCTGCCTTGACGATCTCCAGCGAAGCGGCACCATCCCCTGCGCCGACCCGCGCGCGAGCGGCGCGCCGCACGAGCCATCCTCCGTCATCGCCGCGCCGCGCTCTGCCTTTGGAGACGGCGCCGGCGAGTGGAACGGCTACCGCGACGTGCGGCTCGAGTCCTTGCATGAGGGCGTCGCCACGACGAGGCTGCCTGGCTCGATCGCGCGCGCCGAGGTGCGCGCGCGGCACAGCCAGCGAGAAGGCCGGTTCGGATGGCACGGGGACGAGCTTTGGACGGCGGACGGGCTCCGCGCGACGTTTCGCGTCTTCTTCGTCCGCTGGGGATTGGAGGTCGACCTCGACTCGCGGGGGATGCGGCGGAGCGAGGTCGAGATCAGCCGAGATCAGCCCCGAGATCAGACTTGAGATAGCGTTCGAGGGGGATGCGGCGGAGCGAGGTCGAGCCTCCGCCACGCCCTCGCGCTATCTCGGCGCATCTCGGCTCGGCTCGGCTCGGCTCGGCGCATCTCCGCCTCCCCTCCCTCCCTTTCCCAGGTCGACCTCCGCCACGCCGTCGCGCACGCCGCCGTGCAGTCGCAGCGGTCGGCGTCGGACGGCTCGTTTGGCTGGTCCGACTCGACACTGTGGGTGGACGAGGGTCTGCGCGCGCGCTTCGCCGTGACGCTGCAGCGCGATGCCCTGCCCGGCTCGCGCCCGCCGCTCGAACTGCGGTACCGGATGGTTGCAGACGGGCCAGTGAAGGTGCTGCAGGTGATGCCGGCGCCGTCCGCCGCCGCCTCCGGGGAGGTGCCCTCCCTGCCCGTCCTGGCGTCGGAAGAGGACGACGGCAAGCTGAGGCTGAGCGTGCACGTGTCGCTCGCGTGCCTCGGCGTGTCGCTGATTGCGGACGGGTGCGAGGAGCTCCTCTACTTGAGCCTCGTCGACCCTGTGGTGAGCTACCGCGCGTCGTCCGGCCGAGACTTTCTGTCGGCGCAGGTGCGGCACCTGCAGGTGGACAACCAGCTGCAGGCCGCCTCCTTCCCCGTGCTGCTCCAGCCCTCCTTCTCCGCCGAGGAGGCGCAGCAGGCGGTGAGGCCGCACTCGCTCGAGCTGCTCGTGCAGCGCCGCATCGGCGCCGCGCAGGTGCCGTCCCACGACACCGCCAGAGAGACCGCCCGAGACAGCCCGAGACCGCCCGAGATGGCGCGAGACGGCGCGAGACCGCGCGAGACGGCGCGAGACGGCGCGAGACGGCGCGAGACGGCGCGAGAGACCGCCCGAGATGGCGCGAGACGGCGCGAGACGGCGCGAGACGGCGCGAGAGACCGCCCGAGATGGCGCGAGACGGCGCGAGACGGCGCGAGAGACCGCCTGAGATGGCGCGAAACGGCGCGAGATGGCGCGAGATGGCGCGAGATGGCGCGAGATGGCGACGCGAGCTGGCGCGAGACGGCTGGTGGCCGCCCTCGCCAGGTGCTGTACTACGAGACGGTCTCGCTCCGGCTGCAGACGCTCGAGCTGATGGTGGACACGGTGCTGGTGCGCACCCTCTTCCTCTTCGTCCTCTCCACCTACCTCGACCTCGCAAAGATGGCGACGGCGGTGGTCGAGGCGACGACGCGCGGCCAGCCGCGCCGGGCCGACGCGGTGGTGCCGCCCAAGGTGTACCTGCGCTGGCTCAACCTGCAGCCGCTCCGGCTCCACCTCAGCTGCCGCTCCGTCGCGGGCGGGCGACGCCGCGAGGCCGTGCGTCGAGACGAGGCAGCCGATCTGACCCCGAGCAAGCACCCGAGAGCGTAGGCGGGCGCGGCTTCGAGGCGGTGCTCGAGAACGCGCCGGCCAGCGCCGTGGGAGTGCTCAACTCGGTGAGCGCCGTGCTGTCAAACATCGACTCGGCGCCGCTGCAGCTCAAGGCGCTCGTCCTCGACAACACCTTCGCGCCCGTCGGCACGCTGGCGCAGGCCATCTGCGACTCGTACCGCGAGCAGCTGCTGCAGCAGCTGTACAAGCTCCTCCTCTCGGTCGAGCTGCTCGGCAACCCGCGCGGCCTCTTCCAGCACCTGGCCACCGGCGTGACGGACGCGTTTTACGAGCCGCTCAACGGGATCATGCGCGGGCCCGACGAGTTCGCGCAGGGCGTGCTGCGCGGCGGCAGCTCGCCGGAGCTGCGAACGGCGTCTCTTCACACCTGCAGCCGTGAACAGGCGTGCTGCGCGGCGGCAGCTCGCTCGCCAACAACCTGACCTACGGGCTCTCGGACTCGGTCGGGAAGTTCACCGGCACGCTGGGCAAGGGGCTCGCAGAGCTGTCGATGGAGCGAGACGCGACAGGGAGGGCCTCTGCACGGCGTGCGCGTCACCGCCCTCCCGCTCTTCCCGTGTAGGACCGAGACTATCTCGACCGGAGGGCGTCGTCGGCGCAGGCGCCGAGATCGCCCGAGATCGCCCGAGATCGCCCGAGATCGCCCCGAGATCGCCCCGGGATCGCCCCGAGATCGCCCCGGGATCGCCCCGGGGCGACGCCCCAAGCTCACCCGAGCCTCGGCGGCCTCGTCCGCCTGGCCCGCAGGTGCAGCAGCAGGAGGGCCCGCGCAACATCGGGGAGGGGCTGCTGCAGACGGCCGAGTCTGTCTCTGGCGGGCTGCGCCAGCGCGCGGCGACTGCGAAGACGGGCGGGCGCGCCGAGAGATCGCGAGGGCTGTGTGAGCAGGCGGGCTGCTCAAGGGCGTGGCGGGCGTGATCCAGAAGCCGCTGCAGGGCGCGCAGAGAGGCGGCTTCTCGCCGGAGCTGTGAACAGCGTCTCTCCACACCTGCAGGTGTGAACAGGCGCGCAGAGAGGCGGCTTCGGGGGCTTCTTCAAGGGCGTGGCGCAGGGCGCCGTCGGGCTCGTCGTCAAGCCGGCGGTCGGAGTCGCGGACGGCATCACCGCCGCCGCCGAGGGCCTCAAGAGCCAGACGACGGTGCTGCGCGGCCTGACTCGCCGCCGCCGCCAGCCGCGCACGTTTGGGCTGTGGGGCGAGCTGCGCCTCCTCTTCTCGGGCGCCTAGGAACCTTCTAGGAACCTGTAGGAACCTGCTAGGCGAGCTGCGCCTCTTCTCAAACGCCGACGCGCGCATCCAGCGCGCCCTGTACGACGCGGTGACGGGGCGCGGCGTCCGCTCCCTCGCGTCGGGGCGCTTCTGCAGCCAGGCGCCGCGGGCGCGCAAGGGTGTGCGGCGGCGCCGCCGCCTCTTCACGCTGCGGCTGTGAGGTAGGTGCCTTGCGCGAGCCCGCCGCAGGCGGAGATCTCGCTCGTCGTCACGACAGGGCACGCCATCCTGCTCTCGGTCAGCGGGGAGGGCGGCGCGGGCAGCAGCAGCAGTGGGGGCGGGGGAGGAGGCGCCCCCGTGACCGCGCTCGTCTGGTCGGAGCCGCTCAGCCAGATTGCCGTGTGGGAGTGCGTGGAGCGGTCCCATGAGCTGGCGCTGCATTTGCGGTCGGGCGAGGTGCGGCGCGCGCGCTTCCCGTCGGCGGCGGCGCGCGCGAAGGCGGTGCGCCTCATCGAGCAGGCGGTCAAGCTGGACGAGTCGAGCACCAGTCGGGCGCCGCGGCGCTGACGCGGCTGCTGCTGCATGTCGGGAACCAGCAGGTACACTGGCGGGCCCCACATGGTAAGGTAAGGTAAGGTAAGGTAAACTTCTCCACACACACGAGGTGGTGGGGCAAGGGGGGGGCAACCCTCGCGTCTCCACGTCCCACATGGTACTGTGGGATCGGATCGATCTTTGTACTGTAAGAGGCCGACACCCCCACCCGGAAGGCAAAACTGTGAAGCCGTAATTTCATACTGGGGCGAAAAAAGGATTACGGGGTGTGGACCCTAATTAAATGGAAGGGCGCGACAAAACGGACATGGGAGCGCCACCGGACCATCGCGGCGATGGGGGGCGCGAAGCTAGAGGCGCTCAGGGAGGCGCAAGACACAAAATTAATACCGTTCAGCACCCGCGACCGCATCGAACGAGCGGCAACGAGAGGAGAGGCTGGTATGCGAGCAATGCTAACCGCAATCGACACCTGGGCGGACACGGCGGGGGCGCAGAGACCAAACGACGACACGCTGACCAGGATGTGGTCCACAATAAAACGACACGTCGAGGTTGCCTCCCACAGTGACGAGGCAGGACAACGCCAAGACAACATCAAAGAGAGCACGCGCAACGAGACCGAACGCGACAGACATAGCTCGGCGCTACCCTTCAGAACATTATACCTAGGCAAGGAGCCGAGCACAGAGAGCGACGCAGCAGATAGCGATGCACAGAAGGAAAAGACGAAAAAGACGATGGCCCTGGACGGGGGAGGCGACGAGTGGAGAGTAGCCGCCGATGGAGAGGCGACGATCGGCGGGGACGCATGGTGGGGGAGTGACGAACCGGACACGCTCGGACATGGGCAAGAGATAGACGACCTAGTGGGTGGCGGGGAGTGGAGGCGAGGTGCGCCGCAAGCGGTACTCGACAACGTCGCGATCGAGGAGGAGATCGGAGGGGCGGTACATGCACAGCGGACGGTACGGGCCGTGCAGCGGTCATAGCGGCGAGGCGCGGGACCGTCTGTGGCGAGGTGGGTCGCGTCCCCGGATTTCCTCAACTCACGGTCCGCTCCCTCTACGCGGATTTACTCCGTGGCTCGGGTTACACCAATCCTCGCTACCCAACGCGGCCAAAGGATATCCACCTCGAGAACCTCGAGAACCTCGAGAACCTGGAGAGTTGGGCTCGGCCAGGTTTTCCGGAAAACAAAAAGGAAAACAGAGAGAGGGTCCCCAGCAGCAGCACTTTGCGTTTCCGGAAATTTCCAGGGAAAGAAAACAGAGGGTGTTTGGTGCTCCATTCTGGAAACTCGCGAGTTTCCCTGAGTCTGAGAGCTGGTCTGGGGCAAAATCTGAGGCAAAATTGAGGAAATCGACAAAATACCATGCAAACCTGGCCGAGAACTACCTCGAGAGGAGAGGGCCCAAGAGACCTCGAGAGCATCACATCGCCGCCCCGCCGCCTCCTCGACCTCCCTAGAGTGCCGCCCTTGACTCTCAAGAGCTCCTCCGCCAATGGTCGCTCCTGCGTCCGCCGCCGCCGGCCGAGGAGCCGCGCTGCCGCTGGCGGGCCGGCGCCGCTCCCGATCAGTCGCCTGTGCCGAAGAGTGCCGCGAGCGCTCCGTCTCGTTTCGGCTGCAGCAGGGCGGCGGCGCGCCTCTCTTCTACCGGCCTGCCTCGCGGATCATCCGCGACCTCGGCGTGCTCGCCCTCGCGGCGCACGGCCGGCAGCACCAGCGCGCGCCTCGCGTCCTCGACGCCATGTCCGGCTCCGGCGTGCGGGCTCTCCGCTACTCTCACGAGGCAAACGCGAGCTTTGTGCACGCGAACGAGCGCATGTTCGGAGAGCACCCGCTCCGCGCCAACCTCGAGCCGCTCCTCTCGGCCGGCCGCGCACGCGTCACCGCCGACGACGCCGTCGACGTCTACATGCGCTCGCGGCTGGACGGGTCGCTGTACGACCTTGTGGACGCCGACGCGTTTGGCACGGGCCAGCCGCACGCCGCAGAGGCGTGGTGGGCGTGCAGGACGGGCGGCCTCGTCTACCTGTGCGCCACTGACTCGCTGACCACCAGCGGCAGCAACCCGCACCAGGCAGCAGCCGGGTACGCCGCTGTCACGCACAAGTTCCCTGGCTGCAACGAGGCGGGCCTGCGGCTGCTCGTCGGCACGGCGGCGCGTGAGGCGGCGGCGAGGCACCTCACCGCTTCGCCCGTCTTCAGCTTCTTCCACCGCCCCTCCTCCACGTTCCGCGTGATGATGCGGCTCGACGCGGCGAAGCGGCCGCCCGCCTCGGGCTTCGCGGCGCTCTCGCACGTCGCTCGCTGCCCGAGTTGCGGCGAGGTGTTGGCGTGTGCCCTCGACGCGGCTTGGGGACGCCGCCTCTCTCGCGCCGCCGTGCAGCTGCTGCTCAGAGAGGGGCGAGGCGCCGAGGGAGGCGCCGCAGGTCTTGGGGAGTGACGTGTGGGCGAGGGCGGCTGCGCGGTGCAGGTCTGCACCACTCACTCCCTCGGTCGCAGGTGATGGGCCCGATGTGGGTCGGGCCGATGCACGACGCCGAATTCGTGGCGGGGATGCGAGGCGACGCGGCGGCACGCGGCTGGAGCGAGCCGGACCGGCTGCTCGGCTCCTTCCTGGAGGAGGCGGAGGCGGAGGCGAAAGGCGCCCTCCTCTTCTACCACCTCGGGGAGGTGCAGCGCGCGCTCGCCAAGCGGGGTCTGCGCCAGCCGCCGCTCGCCGCGCTGCTGCCGCTGCTGCGCGGCGCCGGCTTTGGGGCCGCGCAGGCGCACAGCGAGACGAAGTCCCTCAAGACGAGCGCAACGCTCGACGAGGTTGTGCGCGTCGTGTCCGAAGCCAAACACCGCGCCGGCGTATAGATAGCTCGTCTTTTTTTAAAGTTTTATTCGTGGGCACACGGGCACAGACCACAGTCACAACCGACGGTCCGCCGACGCATCAAACAAATCACTCAGCCGAGACAAAGCGGTCAGTTCAGACCGAGAAGTCTCTTATGACACTCTCTCACTCTCTCTCTACAACCTTTTCTCTCCGAGACAGCCTGGAGCGCTCCTTGGCAGCGCGCTGGTCACTCTCGCATGCGCTCTTGCCCGGGCTCTAATGCGGTATGGCTCTCAGACTGGAGTCTGGACTCCTCCCGCCTTCTGATGCCTTAGTCACTAGCTTCGGTCTGATCAAGGTCGGAACAGGTCAGAGTCCTACCTCTTTCTTGCCACCCCCCCACCCCCACCCACCCCAGGTGTTTGGCCTCCCACCCACTTCAGCGCGCCCGCGCCGATGGCCTCCCACCGCATCGGCGCGCGCGTCGCGGGCCTCTCACCAGAACAGCTGTGCGCCATCATCGAGGCGCAGGCGGGCGCGAGCGCCGCCGCGCTGCGCGTGGCGGAGGAGCACGCCGCACGGCTCGTGGAGCAGCCCGAGTGGGTGCTCTCCGAGGTCCTCCTCTCGCCGGACCTCGCCCCGCACATCCTCGCCCAGCTGCCGACCAAGGATCACGCCGTCAAGGGGACGTGCCGCGCGTGGCGCCGCGGCTGGAAGGAGACGCTGAAGAAGCGCGAGAGGCCGCGCATGCTCGTGATTGGCGGCCACGACAGCGACGGCGAGCTTGTCAACTCGCTGGAGCGGTACGACCCGTCCACGAATGAGTGGGAGGAGGAGGCTGTGGCGCCGATGCCAACGACACGAAAGTATTTCGGCACGGCGATGCTCGATGGCAAGCTCTACGCGGCGGGCGGCAGGAATGAGGCTGGTGATGCAACTTCCAACGCGGTGGAGCGGTACGACTTTGCTACGAATGCATGGGAGGCGGTGGCGCCGATGGCGACACCACGCGACAATCACGCCGTGGCGGTGCTCGACGGCAAGCTGTACGCTGTGGGCGGCTTCTGCAACGGAGAGGGCGTCCTCACCGCGGTCGAGCGGTACGATCCGGCGGCCAATGCGTGGGAGGCGGTGGCGCAGATGAACACACTGAGGACGACCCTCGCCGTGACGGTGCTCGACGGCAAGCTGTACGCGGTGGCCGGCTGCAACAACTTCAACCTCAGCTCGGTCGAGCGGTACGATCCCGCGACGAACGCGTGGGAGGCGGTGGCGCCGATGGCGGCGGCGCGGAGTGACCATGGCGTGGCGGTGCTCGACGGCAAGCTGTACGCTGTGGGCGGGTACAACCTCGGCAGCCTCAGCTCGGTGGAGCGGTACGATCCGGCGACGAACGCGTGGGACCCGGTGGCGTCGATGGCGAGTATGCGGGAAGGTCACGCCGTGGCGGTGCTCGAGGGCAAGCTGTACGCTGTGGGTGGCTTCGAACACGACGACGACCTCAGCTCGGTGGAGCGGTACGACCCTGCGTTGGATGCGTGGGAGGCGGTGGCGCCGATGGCGACGGCTCGGTACCTTCCTCTCGCTGCCTTGATGTAGCGCCGGCCATGGCACTGCCGTGCTTGAAGACGTCGATTGAAACAGCAGACCTTTTGCTCGCGCAGTAGGGTCAGTAGCCGCGGACCTCTCGGATGGCCGTGGCCCCGATAGACTGAGAGGTGTGTGCGCGCGCGCGTACGTGGCAAAAGTTTCCTTTCCGCTTTGTAACTATCACTTGCCTCAGCGACGACACCAGCGGCGCACAGAGGCAGCAGAACGTTGCCCCAAACTAAAAAAACCCCAAAAAAATGTAAGAACATAGATGCAAACTTAGTGCTTAGAGAGGCAACGCCTGGGCCTTAGCCCTTACGTTTACTTACCTGGGCTTCTAGGGGGGGGCGGGCAGGGTTTGCCCCCCGAAAGGGCCCCGGGAAACCTCGAGAATTTAAGAACTCACGATCTTGTGCTCTGTACTTGCGACCGCTCGCACGGACCTCCACCTGTATTCCTTGCAAACTTGGGTGCGGCCGCCTCCATCGTTGCTTGGTCAAGTTGGCGCTTGGGCGCGCTGTCGTCCACGGCCACCGCGTGCTTCTGGGCCTCGTCGTGGGAGCGTGCAAAGTCGGCGGCCGCTGCCGCTCCGCTGTTTGGCACAACGACCGCTAGGAGGTGGCCAAAGAAGATGTCGACCAGAAGGCGCTTCGGCGGCTGTGGTTGCTTGAAGAGCGCTCGTGCGTGCTTCTGCTCTCTGGCCATGTCGTTGTCGGCGCCAGCAAGCGCAGCGGCCACAGAGGCCGACCACACCATCAGTGGGCCTCGCAGGAATGGAAACGGCGGTGAGAAGCTTCGCTTGTGGCGCTGCAGCTGAGCAATCATGCGCGCCTCGCCACGCGCGCGCACACGAACCCCCGCATCGAGGCGCCCCGGCCAGACATCCTCATTCACGCCCGTTGCGTGCCGCCAGGCGAAGGTGCTGCCGAAGGCATCCCTTCCCCAGCAGGCATTAGCATGCCCAGTATCCCTCATGTAACAGCTCCATTCAAAGCGGCCGTACACAACGTCCTTCACGTCCAAGTGATGCAGGAAGCTCAAGTCACCGAGGACGCGGCTCGGGAAAACGTAGGCGTCGTCGTCGGCGAGACCGACGTACCGAGGCCGCCAGCGAGCCGCCCGATGCATCCAGGAAATGGCCTTGAATGCGTACCTTGCGTCCGCTCCGTGAGAGTCCTCTGAGCCTCCGCCCGACACTTTCAGGATGTCGCCGAAATCGGCTGACTCTCTGGTGGTGATGGCGTCCAGCCCGGGCTCGTCTGGCTTGCAATTACGAAGCGCATTAGTGCTTCACGACCACCTTTTTGTTTGGTGAAGTGTCCACCCCAGCTTGACCTCACTGCAGTGCGCCTCTGCCGTCCAAGCCTGGCGTGGCTGAGCACTCCGAGCGCAAGGAGCAGCGGTGACCAGTGAGCTGGCGGTGACCGCGATGCCGCCGCCGATGGAATAGGTGCCCTCTGGGTTTTCGGCTTCTCCATGCTCTTCTCCTCGCTCTCGCTCTGCATGCTCTGCGGCACGGACGCCGCGACTTCTCCATCCATGTCTTCTGCGAGTTCATATCTAAAGATATAAGGGCCTCGCGTTGCCGGCAGTTTATCCCCGTGACCGGAGGAACTCGCGGACCCGAGGAGTCTCGAGCTTCAGCTGGCGAACCATCATGCCGCTCTCGGCACAGAAGCGGCGCGAGCGCCGCGCCGCGCAGCGCGCTGCCGAGGCTGTGAATCTAGGTTTCCTAGGGGCGTGCTGTGAACCTCTCACAGGCCAGCGCACAGAGCCAGAGGAGGCATTTTCTTCTCAATAACAAGGCTGTGAATACAGCGAAGAAGACGCCTGGGTTCAGCGTGACAAAGGAGAGCAGGGCAAGACGCTGCCTGATCCTTTTGGTGCTCAAAGAGCTACGTTGAATGGATGTTCCTGAGCAAACAGGACGAGTGACGACAGCTGCTATTGGTGGCGATGTCGATGCACTGCGCTCGCTCGCTGAACAGTGCGGCAGCAAGGTGCTGACGGCAGCGTCGGCAGACGGCAGCACACCGGCACACGCCGCCGCTGCGAGTAGCCACGCCGATGTGCTCAGCTTCCTTATCGATCAGTGCGGTACCGAGGCGCTGATAGCTGCGCTCTCCGAGGCGCGGACTGCGATGGCGGACGGTGTGACGCCCGCTCACACCGCCGCGCTCGGTGGTTACGTCGACGCGCTCCGCTTCCTCTCCGAATACTGCGGTCCAGAGGTGCTGACGGCCACGACGGCGAACGGCAGCACGCCAGCTCACGCCGCCGCACTCAACGGCCATGTCGACACGCTCCGCTATCTCTTCGAGCAGTGCGGGCGAGAGCTGCTGACGGCTGCGAGGGCGAATGGCGGCACGCCGGCTCATGCCGCCACTGCGAACGGCCACGTCGACGCTCTCCGCTCTCTCGCCGAGCAGTGCGGGCCAGAGGTGCTGAGCGCTGCGAATGCGAACGGCGTCACGCCAGCGCACCTCGCCGCTGACAATGGCCAGGTCGACGTGCTCCGCTTCCTCGCCGAGCAGTGCGGCAGCGAGGCGCTGACGGCTGCGGCTGCGGACGGCGCCACGCCAGCGCACTGGGCCGCTGTCGATGGCCATGTCGACGTGCTCCGCTTCCTCGCCAAGCAGTGCGGCAGCGAGGCGCTGACGGTTGCGAATGCGGACGGCGCCACGCCAGCGCACGGCGCCGCTAGCAATGGCGACGTCGACGTGCTCCGCTTCCTCGCCGAGCAGTGCGGCAGAGAGGCGCTGACGGCTGCGGCTGCGGACGGCCACACGCCAGCGCACTGGGCCGCTGTCGATGGCCATGTCGACGTGCTCCGCTTCCTCGCCGAGCAGTGCGGCAGCGAGGCGCTGACGGCTGCGACTGCGCACGGCGTCACGCCAGCGCATTGGGCCGCTCGAAAGGGCCAGGTCGACGCGCTCCGCTTCATCATCGACGAGTCAGGCCAGTCCATTCCTACCGTTCTTCTCGACATGCTCAAAGCGCACGCTGAGCACAAGGTCCTCGCCCTCGCCTGGCAGTCCCTGCTTAGCAGCCAGAAGCCCTCGCTCTTCTCCTCTCGACCCGACCCTGCAAAGATCGAGGCTGCCCTCGCCGCCGCACGGGATGCAGGCGTTCCCTCCAGCGAACTTGACCGTGCAGCAGCCTTGCTACGTGACACAAAGCTGTTGCGCGCGCTCAACGGCCGCCCTGCCCCCAACGTGCTGCTGTCGACCATCGCGAGCAATGGCCCTGGCGCGAACAAGGCGCTTGTGGCGCTGAGCGGCCTACTCGACCCGCATAACATGCTGCTCAGTTGGGCGGCGCTAACGGCAGTCGCTGAGAGCCCTGATTTGCCATCTGACGTTCTCGCGCCGCTTCTCTCGTGCTTGACGCAAGCCAGCGCTTACTGGTCGCCCGATGGATGGTCTGAGGACGCAATTGAGTGGGTTGC